GAGTCAGATCGCCCTGGGCATTCCCCCTCCAACTGCTGTTTCCAGACCTGCTCTGTACAGATGCCGATCCAGGAGGTGCAGGGTGGTCCCTGGAACCCTGGGGTGCTCAGGTGACTGCTGTGCAGCTGGTGAACCAATGAAACAGGTGGTCCCCGGCAGACGGCCAGAAAACCTGGCTCAAAGTCCTTCGTCGCCCACAGCTGCTTCCTCACTTGCAAATGAGAGACCAGGGTACGCGGGGTGGGCAGAGTGGGCGGATGTCAAAGGGCTCATCTTGGAGCTTGGCGCTCGGCACGCACCCGGCGACAGCTCAGTCTGAATCAGTTTCAAAACCCCGTTACATCCTGGTGGCCTGGCGCTTGAGGCTTTCCAAAATGAGACCCCCACGACCTTACCCACCTGACCCAACCCGAATCCTCCACTTCGGGCAAGCAGCTTTTGCCTGGCTCCTGAACACAGACTCCTAGAACATGGAACCCCTGACCCGTCCATATGCCCACACCACCCTTCCACCAAAGGAGACCCTGAGTTCACGTGACCACGTAACCCCGCACAGGTTACACGGCTGTCTCACTTCTATCCGTGTTTTTAACACAAAGCACATGCCCGGGGACAGTGTGTGCCTCTAGGACAGGAGCTGACATAACGGGCCCTGAGTAAGTGCTAGATGAACGGAGGACTGAATAAATGCACAATGCCGTGATTATCTACTTATCTGCCATCGCTCAGCCTCCCGAACGTCCACCACCGTCTACAAAAGTAAAAGGCTTTATTCATGACATTCCACCTGCCTCCCACAATTAGCCTGAATGTACAGCACAGGCACATGGCCCTGACCGGTTACAGAGAACTTCGCAGACCATTTTATTACCGTTTTGAGATTATGCTGCATCACCCCCAAGTGATTTTGTATGATTTTCTTACGAACAAGGGCATTCTCCTACACAACCGGTCTCGCCATCAAAATCAGGAAATTAACAAAGATGCGTTATTACCATCTAAACTTCTGTTCCCGCGGAAGTTTTGCCAACTGCCCCGACAGTATCCTTTACTGGCAAAGGACCCACTTGGGAACCATTATGCGTTACATATCGCTCTGTCCTGTTCCTCGGTATTTGACTTTCGCCTGCTTGGGCTCTGGCTCCTCGCTGTGGTCTGCCTCCCCTATTCAGGTGGCCTCCTCATCCACTCGACCCAGGACACCCTGCACGGGCCATGGAACCACCGACCTTTCTCACTCCAGGCAGATGCTGCCACCCCACACCGGGAAGCCCGCGCCACACCACTCCAGGACTCCCTGAGCATGGAAGCTCCACGCAGGGCCTCGCCCCAAACCTCTCCCATGGAAGGGACGTCCCCCTCCCCTGCTCCGGCTAGCGAGTCACACGCCTGGCTACCGCGGGCTGCACCGTCTGCAGAGACTTCACATACGGCCTTTAACCCGAAATCCAGCTTCGAAGCTGGCCTGAACTCGCTCGCCCCGAGAGCCCCACGAGCACCTGCGCGGCTCCGGCCTTCCTCCAGCTCTTCACTTCTCTGACGTCCCACCCAGTCGACGACTCACCCACCAGTCCCAAACTGTCATAAAATACTTCACTTTGTTTACGTCTATGCTCGTGTTCCAACGGGATTTATACCATCTAACTCTGAATTCGCACGGCACCCACCACAAAACGGCTGCCTTGAGGCTCTCAAAACCCCTGGTGGTGTGACTCTGTGGGTCACTGTCCTCCTGCCAACCTTTCCCTGGTCTTGTATTCACAGGTGTCTCTCCCCACCTGTCCTTTCTGCTGCTCGTCACCAGATGCATGGGCATGCTGCTCGTCTCCAAAGCCTCCCGGGCCTCATCTAGCATCTCTCAGCTACACCTGTCCCTGGGACAAAGTGCGAGCAAATGGCGCCGGACTTCAGCAACACACCTCTCCTGGGGGTCTCCTGAAGTCACCCCATCCCCATGAACGCTACAAAAAAGCAGTACAACTCCAAGGTCACAGGTCATGTGCCATCTGAGAATTCAAATGAACCGTCTCATCCTCCTGTCACTGCCCCCGACGTGCATGCCGCCTCTCCCCATCCTCCACGTCCCATGACACCTGGTTCTTGCACCCACCAGGTCACCTTCCCCTCTCCCCAGTTCCACATACTAACCCCCACTGAACCCAGTCAAGACTTTGCTCCTCTGCAAAGCCCTTCCAGTCTGGCCACACCCTCGGTTGCACCACTAAGCTCCCAGCCTCCGACCCACATCAGTTAATGCTCTTACACTGAGGTCAGGGCCCAGACTCTGGAATCAGAGAAGCCTGTGTCTAGACCCTGGCTTCACCGTGTGAAACGCCAAGGCAACTTGGACAAGCAGCTAAAATGATCGGAGCTGCTATTCTTCAACTGTACACACTAAAAGCCACGCCACAGGCTGCCGTCAAGAGCATGAGCACGTGACCCGTGTACACAGCCTGGCCCACAACGGGCACATGCTGAATATGGCACACGTGGGACATACTACTTATGTGCGTAGCTCTGCAAATCTGCTCAGAAGGGAGCCACACACCTCGAAGCTGCACAGGAACCTCTGATGAAGCATGTGAAGTCTCGAGGGTGAAACGCTGCGCCCGGGAGAGCACAGCTGGAGTGACTTGGGAGCCCCACTGCTCAGTGTGGCCTGTGGACCACAGGCTGGCAGCGCTCCAGGCAAGGTCAGCACACAGATCTCGGGCCTCCACCTGAACCTACCAGGAAGAAAGTCCCCTGGTCCCCAGGCCCAAGCACTCCCCTCCTCTGGCTGCGTCTCTTCTGACAGCCGAGCTGGCTCTGAGGGGGAATGTGCAGTTTAACCATCTCCCCAGGTAACTCGTGTGCACATTAAAGTTTGAAGAGAACTGCTTTAGAGAATGCCTCCCCTTCCCGTCCCACGCTTCCTCCAAAACACGATAAACTTTTTAGTTCCTGGGCCTGTTCTTTGTGTATTTTCCACCATGCTGCAGGAAAGGCAGTGTAGACAGTGCAGCTAGGAGTACAGACTCTGAAGTCAAACTATTCGGTTCCAACCTGCTGCATAGGCCGCTGGGAAGATTTCAGGAGAAAGGCATAGCGCCTGGCCCGCAGCGAGGCTGCCGGCCAGCTCAGCCATTTAGCCGCTACTGTGAGGATGACGTGGGGAAGCAACGTCTCTGAGGCACGGACATGTAAGGAGAAAGACCAGGCATGAGCCACAGTTTGGGGAAGAGCCCTCTAGGCAGGAGAAGTAATGATCAAGGGGGTAGCAGCTGAGCTCCCACAGGTCAGCAGACACTGTGAGACCCCGCAGGCCATGCGGCTTAATGCACGTAGGCCTGGAAACCACTGAAGGCAGATGTGATGCGACATGTCTTCAAAGATCACTGATTATGATGTCTGGAATGAGCCGTGGGGCATAAGATCGAAGCAGGGAGGCCAGATAGGAGGCTCCAGAAGTGGTCAAGGCAAGAGATAATCATCATCCCGGACTAAAGTTGTGAGGGGTAGTTCAGCTCTGGGAATATTTTGAAGACAAAGCTGCCACTGGACTGGACCGGGAAGGAGCTGAGGGTGGCCTGTGTTTGGGCCTGAGTCACTGAGTGAGGTGACGTGAGATCTGAGTGCCCTCAGGTGACGTCCATGAGATAAGCATGTGAGGATGCTGGGTAGTGGTCTGACACTGAAGGCTGGAGCTTGGGGAGGGGAACCAGTCTCAGCCCCAATGATCACAACACCCGCAGACCCTTGAAGACAAGGACGAAGCCTTTCTTCAGAGTCTTTCACTACCGTATAATGTACTCAATCCACACCAACAAACAGCATTTCAGGACAAAGAGAGCCGATTCCTGGAGGGTAGCGATCTCGACGCTGGTGCTTGGCTGAGTTTGTAGGGCAGTGTCTAAGGAGCTGGGAGAAGAGGGAAGAATCCAGGGCTGTGGAATGGGTGGGTCCTGGTCCCTGAAGACTGGCTCACTTTATGCAAAGGAAAGCAAAAGGGAATAAAAGCAGGACAGGTTTGGGGGTGAGGCGGGAAGTGTGGAATGTCTTCCACGGGAAGCCCCGTGGAAGGCGAGTACTGCTGGGGAAGTGGCGAGCTGAAATACTGCTTCACGGAAGCAGGGGACCATCACTCGGAAAGGTCTGGAAGGACCAGGGGGCTGGGTCATGTCTGTCCTCCCTACTTCTCATAAGGCCCCGAGGCGGCCACATGCCCTGGGTGGGTCTGGCCCAGAACAGAGCCGGGGACATTTCCTTTCTAACACAGGGACCAGCTAGAGCGAAGCACGCAGGAGCCGGCACACTGCCCTGCTGGCCACGAATCCAGTCCCGCTCTCAGATAAAGGTCTCCACGGAAACCTGATAGAGAAAACCCAGGACAAATGCCTCCCAGCCCATGCTCCTTTGCGCAGTTAATTACTGACCACTCACTTCTCATACGATGTCTTGAGTGTTGTGCCGACCCAAGGATAAAGAAGTCCCTAACACGGACTCAGGGCACACGCACAGACAACCGCACAAAGCAAGAGGGGCCGCGCGTACAACTAAGTGCACCAGACACGGTGACAGAAGCCGCGGGCATGTGTGAGGCTTGTCTGGCCTTCACCATCACTGTTCTGCTGGCAAACCCACCCCTCCCTCAGCCCCTACTGCTCCGCCGGGTTTGGGGACCTGCCTGTGCCACCACCTCCGACGCAGGTAAGGCGCTGGGGCTCGCCCGGAGTCTGCACTCCGCGAACACCCACGGAAGGATTCCTGGAGGTGAGGGGGACGGCTCTGCCGCCGGAGAGCTACGGTCCAAACCCCCGCTCCGCTACTTCCTGGCTGTGTGACCTTGGGCATGTTGCTTAACCTCTCTGCGCTCCGGTTTCCCCGTGCGGGCTGCGTCCGCCTCACCGGCCCTCCGTAGTGTGCGCTGGGAGCAGGTGCGCATAGTGCCCGTATCGACCGGAGAAGGGACGGAGCCCCAGGCGCCCCCCGCCTGGGTCCGCGCAGGGCCGGCCGCTCACCCAGTTTCCGAAGCCGAACTGCTCGATGGCGTCCAGCAGCAGCTGCTCCTCGCGGCTGGTCCAGCCGCCCTCGGCCTCGGGCCCCCACAGCGTGAAGCGCCCGCCGTCCACCAGCTGGTAGCCGTGGTAGCGGCGGTGGTGGCCGATCTCGGCGCCGGCCGAAAAGCACTCGGGGCACAGCTCGATGTCCTGGCACTCGGTGCAGCGGAAGCGCAGCGGGCTCACCTCGGCCAGGCAGCGCAGTACTT